TTAATAATCAGGGTTAAATTTGTACTTGCCTAAAAATGTAGGCAAGATACGAGTTCAGGATTAGTGGTACACAGGACAAGGAGAACCTGAATCACATGAGCTCGGCTGTCATGTCACAGTGCACAGCACGTATCCATAGCGATAACGGTGGAACATAAGGAACCTTTATGACTTTATAGCTCTTAATTTACTGCATCATTATTACAGACACATTATTTCTCAGCATGTTATTGATAAATAGGGTGATTTGGTGACATCATTGCTTATTGTTTCTGGCACAGTTGCTGGATCTGATGCATACACTACACACACGAGCAGCCAGCATCTACAGCTCCTGGGCAGAGGAACTGCACCACCAGGAGACGTCAGGAAAAAAGGTTGAAGCAGACTCCCAGACCCTGTGGTCCAGCTGTTGGTGCCCACTCCTACAAGGTCAGTCCTTGAGGCCTTTGCACAGAACTTTTTACTAGTTGCCATTATTTAGTGTCACTGTACTGTAATCCATAACTATGTTTTTAAATAGTGGTGGTTTTAAAAGATGATTCTAGTGACATATTCAGCAGAAATGGTGATCAGTGTTTGTTGTCATGTGATGAGCTTGATCACAAATCCAGTGGTTTATTAACACAGGGATTGCCTGGCTATGCTGTGATGCACGGCGTCAGGTACGAATGCAGGCCCTCACTTACCTGCAGAGAGCGCTGTTAGTGCATGACCTGCAGACCCTGGATGCTGTGGAATGGGAGTCCTGCTTCAACAAGGTAAGAAAGATCCCAGAGGTTGTCAACCCCAGCATGTCTGTGTATGCATGAAATGGGTCTACCTGTGTCTGTAGCTTACAGTGGGACTTGTCAGCCTTGTGATACTCACTGGTGTTAGGGCGATATCATGATATTTTTGATAATCAATGAGAACCCTCAATACCTGGCACTGACTGACCGGCGATTATCACCAATTATCAGAAAGTAGGCAGGGCACACATAGCAAGATAGCAAAGACTTATGATTTAGCTTTTGGCTTAAGCCTTCTAGCCTACATTTCAAAATCAGTTTAAAAAAATGCACACATTACTTCTTTTTTTTTTAACTCCTTGTCTTTAAGTTTTTGTGTACGTAAACATCCGTTACAATGCTGGTATGCTACTAATGCTTGCCTTAAGTTTGTAAACCACTGCTTTAGACTTTTAAATCATGCTTTCACGTTTTTCTTTCAAGTAAAAAAAAATTAAGAATGTAAATGAAAAAGTGTACATTATTTTTTATATAGATATTTAAAATTAAAAGATTGCGCTTTTTTTGAGATCTCCCAGCTCTTATGTGGGAAATGAAAGCATAGACAAGCTGGCTGAGCCCCGCCGACTGTGCCAGAAGCCTTCGTGATACTGGTGCTTCATTTCTGAATAGTACTGCTGTTTTCATGGGAATGCAGGTGCTGTTCCCACTGTTAACCAAATTGCTAGACAACATCAGCCCTGCAGATGTGGGTGGAATGGAGGAAACCCGCATGAGGGCCTGTACCCTGCTGTCAAAGGTCAGAACCTTACAAAGGAACTGGAGACTCGTGTGCAGGAAAATAATTAAAACGATTGGTCCATCGAGAATACTCGGGGTATTTTTAATCTGTGCTGAATTGTTTTTCCTGTGCCACACTGCAGGTCTTCCTACAGCATCTCTCTCCTCTGTTGTCACTTCCTACATTTGCTGCTCTGTGGCTCACCATTCTGGACTTCATGGACAAATACATGCACGCCGGATCGAGCGACCTGCTGGTCAGTAAGCCAGTTCACATGAGTGACTGCTCACTGCAGATAGTCTGCAAGTGGCTAATAATTGACTGATGTGTTGGATGTGGTCACCAGCTGGAAGCCATCCCAGAGTCCCTGAAGAACATGCTCCTGGTGATGGACACAGCCGGCATCTTCCACTGTGCCGACTCGCGCACTGGATACTCTGACCTATGGGAGATCACCTGGGAGAGGATTGACTGCTTCTTGCCACGGCTACGACAGGAGCTCTTCAAGCAGGCTGTCATGCCAGGTAGCGGAGCCGGCACAGATCCTGTGTTGTGGTCTTACACAGCTCACCTTGGCTTGCATGAATTCACATAACAGCACTGGTCGAAGACTTGGTACCCATCACACTGAAGTTAAATTAGGTCTAGGTTAGTTGTCCAGACTGTTAAACTTAACGACCAATGAAAATGCTAGGAATGCTCGATGGGGCTTCTACCCTTGACATGGAGGGCATAAAATTTTAAGTGTTCTTTTCGGATACCAATTAAAGGAAACACTAACTTCCATGTCTCTGATGCACGGCAAAGTAGGTTTGAGCTCATATTTAACTCAAACATTTCAATGACATCAATAGATGGAAGGGAAGATAAACATTCACACACATCCTTCATAAGGGACATAATGGTACTTATTAGACCAGCAATACAGTTTCTGTCACCCATTCCAAGCAAACCATTGTTATAATTAAAATCATGCCAAATGCCATTCACAAATGCATTCTGGGGAGTGACTGGATGCCTCTGTGGATTGTGTGCTGTGTAGAACCTGTTTCTAGCGTGCCAGTTGAGCCCTCCCCAGCCCCAGCTCCTCGTACTGCATCCCCAGTGCCAGCAACCCCCCCAGAGCCAAAGATTCCCAGCAGGCCAGAGTCACCCCAGGAGCCTCCCCCTCTCAGTGCCAACGGTGAGCTGCAGCTAGATGCACTGTCACTGTAGTACCGAATGTGTGTGTGCAAATACAGGACGTGTTCTTCTCCCATCTTAAACATTTCCTGTTTTGGTGTCACCTGAACAGAGCGATCCTCTCCAGTGCCCTCTACAATGCCAGTGCCCATCCCTGTGAAGATGAGCCCCAGTGAGGCTCCTCCTACCATCAATCAGTCATCTCCCCTCATCCTGCAGCCTCTGGCCTCGCCACTGCAGGTGGGCGTACCGCCCATGTCCTTGCCAATCATCCTTAACCCCGCCCTTATAGAGGCCACTTGTCCCGTACCACTGCTCCCTGCTTCTCGGCCCACAGAGCCCAGTGACGTCTCTGAGGTAAAGTAGAGTGCCCACACCCAGTGCCTCATGGGAAAGACAGGAGGGGGCCCAAAATGAACATGTTGTTTTAGCTCCTGACCCATTGTTTGACTGCGGTTTCCCCAGCATTGCTGTGCCTACTACAGGAAATAATGACTTCTTCTCAGAGAAAAACACATGCTAGCATGGTCATCAAATAAGAACTGGGAAGTTTGACGTCTCATTCTGCTTCGTAAATTCAGTCACTCTGGTGCTGCACTCTGTGCTAAACCTGTTATCTGGTCACTTGGTGATTACTGTCCTGGAGTGTGTCATGCAACACTATGGAAACATGCTAATGAAAATCAAGGGTGATCTGATGTTAGCAAGTCAGATCTTCCCAAAACAACATTGTACACTGACACATTTTATTAAGTATGTCTGAAATTACAGGGAGGAACTCCCCATGAACTCACCTGGAATCTGCATGCTGGTCGTTGTATGGAATGTTCATGATTACCATGAGTTTGTACCTGGGTACCGTGGCTTTGAAAAGGAGAGGGCAGAACTGTGTATTAAACTGTCATTTGTTATGACTTAGATTACACTTTAAATGTACAGAAAAATACTACATTGGTATCTCTCACTCTCTCTCATAGAAAAGACAGTTTGGTTTTTTAGGAATTTTGAAATGGACCGATAAATACTGAAAGACTATTACAGAAGAAAAACTTAAATGGTGAATTCTGCTTGCAACATCAACCTAATTTGTTGCTGTTTAGAACCAATGCCTTCCAGACAGGTTGCTTATAGTCATCTTAACAACAGCGCATACTTCAGTAGTTAATGATTGAAAGTACATTTCAGCCCATGTCTTATATTCTAAAAAGAGGAGGATACCACTGGTTTGTTTTTTGGTATTGTTTTAGGTCTGGAACATTCCAAATGTAACAAAACCATCTGTCCTGATGACTGAGTGGTTGTTCAGTGTATAGAGAAGTAATTTCAGAAATAACTGATCAAGCTGCACTTTCCCAAGAGGTCTTACTGAGATAAGAGTACATTGTTAGATTTATTTTGCCATGTGGAGCGGGTGTGTTTTTCATGTGCTTGTAAGTGGTGGCCATTGAGAACTGCTGTACTGTCAGTGCAGCCTTAGACTGATGTGGACCAAGAGCACAATTAATCTTGTTTAATCTAATAAACAACACAAGTCGAGGTAAACTGTACGAAAAAGAAAAACCTCTAACCAAACCTCCATGCTAAAAATACAGGTAAATTGTTCATGCACATCTTCCATCTTAGAATAACTGAGATACCTTCTATAGATGCAGCCCGAAGTAGCACTCTATTATAAATATTGAACCTGTTCGATGCCCTATCAGTTTTCTTAGACATGAAACCAGTATCCCTTCTTTGCACATGGGACTGAAGTTTGGGGTGAACTTCTTTTGGAAATAAGTTGAAGAGACACATCCAGTACTGGGAGATCATTTGCTACTGCCTTATGTCACATCATGCAAAATGGAATCAAGCTTGTGTAATGACTTGACTCTGATAGCGGCTGCACTCTGCAGTGGGTGTAAAGATCATGTGGTCAATATTTGAATCTGTTGTACTGCATTATTAGAAATGTCAGGAATATGTTTTAGGTAACAAAGAATGACCTGAGAGTAATGTGTATATATAAATGGTAATGTAATTTTTACAATGTAATAAATAAAAAAAAGCTATAATTTGTCTTGCTTTTAAACCAGTGTTGTTGAGCGTCATCCTACCGGTAAGTTTGGACCACTGTCCACTGTACTGAGACATGGAAGCCAGTTCCATCATGACCTGCCCCAACTCTTAAATCCATCAAATGACTTATGGACTGCAGAATCCCTAAGAAGAGAAAATTTACAGTTACAATACCACAAGCAGCAAGTAAACAAGGAGGAAATTTAGAAATCTACCCCTGAAAAATGGGGGAAAAAATCCAAACAGTGTTTTTAAGATCTAAACATCTGTTTTTTATTTCAAAGCAGAATGACGTACAGTTACTAACAGTATCTGAAACTACACAGAAAACTGGCAAGAAGAAAAAAAAAATTATCTCAATTCATCCTTATGTGTAATGTAAAAACATCTGTGAGGAGAGATGGCAAGCGATGGGATATTAACTCTTTCTATCCTATACAAATGTCATATTTTAAAAGAGGAAAACAGTGTAAAGTGAACTCGTACAGTACTTGACTCACGACCATTTTGTGTCCCGCACAGAAACTATCTTCACTGTTAAAAACTTCTACTCACAGCTTTCTGTGCATCGCACTATACCAGCTGCAAAGAGATCCACCTGAAACATGGTCAGAACCACTAAGTCTTCACTTGGCATCCATCTTAGCCATTTCCTGAAGATAAATGCCAATGCTCTCGCTGTCAAACAGTACGAAGTAGATGTTTTTCAGAGAGGAGGCTGTGGCGGACACAAAGTGACTGGAAATGGCCTTGAGGATCAGCTGGGCTGCAGTCTGCTTAGGGAAGCCATTCCTGAACAAAGACACATACATATGCAAGTACAGTGGGTATAGAAAAGAATCACCCCCCTTCAAAATATTCACATTTTCTTGGTTGCAGCCCGAAATGAAAACACACACACAATAATATTTATCCAACTTTATTTACTCATTGCAACTTATAACAGCCAAGTGAAAGCTATAATAGCGACAGTTTAGAAATTTTTTAAAACAATCACTGAGATGGTTAAAGGATCACCCCCTCCTAAACAATATTGTTAACTCAGTCAGATGTAACTAATCACCTTCTCCATTGTACACCAAGCTCATTGGCTTCCACCTGTGATCACCTGTAATCATTCTGATGAGTTCAGCATTAAAACAGCTATTTCTAGAGCATTCCTGTCCTTGGAAGTGCAACTGAAAGCAAACAATCAATTATGGATAGCAAGGCACTGTCAACAGGTCTCCGGTTGTGGAGAGGTACAAGTCAGGAGATGGACACAAAAAAAAAATTCAAAGGCTTTACCAATCCCTAGGAGCACAATAAAGTCCATAATCAAGAAGTGGAAAGTGTTTGGTACTAATAGGACCCGTTCCGAATCAGGCCGTCCCTCCAAACTGGATGAAAGAGCAAAGAGGAAACTGGTCAGAGAGGCTACCAAGAGGCCTATGACAACTTTGAAGCAGTTACAGGAGTTTTTGGCAAAGAGCGGTGTGCATGTGACAACAATATCACAAATGATCCAGAAATGTGGCTTGTATGGGAGGGTTGCAAGAAAAAAGCCACTCTTCAAGAATGACCACAATGTGTCTCGATTGAGCTTTGCCAAAAGCCACTTTGAAGATTCTAGGCCATATGGAAAAAGGTGTTATGGACAGATGAGACCAAAATTATTTGGCCTCAAGGCCAAGCGGTGTGTCTGGCGAAAAGCCAATACAGCTTAGCATCTAAAGAACAATACAGCATGGAGGTGGTAGCATCCTGTATGGGGGTGTTTCTCTGCAGCAGGGACTGTGCACGATAGATAGGGAAATGAATGGGACAAAATATTGTCAAATTCTAGAGGAAAATCTGCTGCCCTCTGCCAGGAAGTTATCAACGGGAAGCAGGGAAGAAGGTTCACCTTTCAACATGACAATGACCTGAAGCACACAACAAAGTTCACTGCACAGTGGCTGAAGGAGAAAAAGGTGAATGTCCTTGTGTGGCCTAGTCAGAGCCCAGACTTAAACCCTACTGAAAATCTGTGGAATGACTTGAAGATCGCAATCCACCAATGGTCAGGGAAGTTGATACAGACTCATAGCTGTAATCAAAGCAAAAGGTGGTTCTACAAAGTACTGCCACAGGGAGTGATCCTTTAACCATCTCTGTTATGGTTTTAACATTTTTTTCTGAACTGTTGCTATTATCTTTCACTTGGTGTTTTAAGTTGCATTCAGTAAATACAGCTGGAAAAATATTTTTGTGTGTGTCTTCATTTCAGGCTGCAAAACAACAAAATGTGAATATTTTGAAAGAGGATGATTCTTTTCTATACCCTTACTACACTCTAGCGGCATGTTCACAGGTGCTAAAGGTCCTGGAGCGGTATAGGGGCAAATATTCATTTGTGCTGGATAAGCGTTTCATATTTATTGTGTGAAACTTTCATGTGTTAAGCACTGTTTGTTTTTCTGATGAAATGTATGGACCATAATAACCGCACCTTCAGCTATGAGCATGCACTCTGTATAATGTGGCCAGGCATGGTGATGGTTTGCATGTGAAGCTCACTATCAGCATTACAAAACAGGGAACCTGTACAGAGACCAATGTGTGAATTCCCGCCTTACCGGCCTGCAGGGAGAGAGGGAAAGGCCACTGACTTAAGCTTCTTCTCTTCTGCGGCAGAGAGGCAGTTCTTAACCGTTTTCTCCAGCTGGTCCTCGCACTTCTCTGAACCCCACTGAGGGACATTGCAGTGGATGACAAAGCGAGCTGCCAGGCCACTAGCTTGGCTCACTGCAACTGCAGATGGGTAGAGGCAGGGGGGCAAATCACCTTTACAACTCTTTTTGTCTGATGGCTGGCTGCTTATTGTGTCAGGCTCAGTGTCACGTGAGATGCTGTTAAAGTGATGCTGAAAAAGTGTATGATTTGCAAAATATTTGGCTTTTTGATCACTTCTATCAGTAACACACATGCCTTCACTTTTAAAAAGCTAATTAAGTGTACAGTAAAATCCAGTTATAACGAACTTCAAGGGACCTGGCAAAACAGTCCTTTATATCCAAAGTCCGTTATATCCAGAGTTGCTGTTTTCCCAGAACACAACTACAGGACACCATTTACTCAGCAGAAACACTTCTGGTATAGATTATTATATTGTACATGTAGTAATCCAACTTTACCTGACAAGATGTGTGTATTAATAATCCTGACTACGTATCTGAGCTGGATATCACCGGCACACCACGCACCTTGTAGGTGGAGCCTGCATGTCTGTTATAGCCGAACAGAACTACACCTAAAATTGGCCCTGGGGACCAAATTGTTTATCCATTATAAGCGAAATTCCGTTATATGAGAGTCCGCTATATCTGATGCTTTTCTGCATGTTCGTAAAGGTGCAGGGCTGGGACCAGCGGACCTCGTCCGTTATAGACGATATTCCGTTATAAGCAAGTCCACTATAACGGGATTTTACTGTACTATGCTCTTTTATATTTGCACATGGGGGTCAGCCTGCCCCTGTTTTGCTGCCCTCAGCATCACTGCTTTTGCTCTCCTCACCTGCGGCGACATCCAGAGGGCCTTGGGATTTTCTTAGTTCTTTTACTCCTTCCAGGAATTCTCTCCCTCCAGCCTTTTCAAGAGCATTGCCTGAAACCACAGCCAGTCACAAAAGGGTTAGGAAGAACCAGCAACAGCATTTGATCTTAGTTCCTACAAGGTAAGCTTGACATTTTTAACCAATTAGCTTTGTGGGCTTTGAGGTGCCCACCCTTCAATCACATGGCAGCACCTTACCTACCATGCTACTGAGAGCCCTGCCTTCAGGCCTGTTATGTGGAAGCCACACTCACCAATGCCCTCTTTCAGGTCTATATCAGCATTGGTGGGGTTGATGATTCCCTCTACTTTGATGGATCCAATTTTGCCTATTTCTGTCTCTGTCAATGAAAGCTGAGAAAAGCAGTCTATCAACCTCTGCAGATAAATTATCACTTGTACACTGAAAAGGCCAAAAAACTTTCAACCGGAATAAACCTACAAAGGTTAGATAATGGATCACAGTGGCTATGCCATGGTGGTGTACAGAATAAAGGCCAGTAGCTTAGCAGATACAAACATCAAAAACAGGATGCCAACCTTCTGACCCAGGAACAAACTCTTTGCTGAAAGGACTGTAAAGCCATCACCCGGACCATCTTCTGTAGTGGAACTGGAGGCCCCTTCTTTGTCATGTTCTGCATTTTTCTGTTGAGGAAAGGCATGCATCAGCTTCTAGGCACAGAAAACCACTGGTTTCTTTGTCACTCAAATCTGTGTCATCATGTCATGGAACAAACCAGGTAAACCAAAGACTTCCAGTCCACGCACCCTTGGTTTCCGGCCTGGCTTTCCTCTTCCTCTTTTTGCTGAGGGCTTTTTGATGCTCTTCACTCGACTGGTGCGTTTCTCTGGCACGGTGACCTGAGTATCCACCTTGACACGGCTGCCCCTCTTCTTGGACAGCAGCTCAGGATGAATCCGGGGTAGGACTCCTCCATTAGATATGGTCACACTGCGAAGAAGCTGCAGGTGACAAGATCAAACATCAGCGATAATAATTATGTCCTATTCACACCACACCATTTAGGGACAAAGAGTGGGAGTGGTGAGTAATGGGGAAAAAATGAGCACACTTTTTATTTTAATTTATTTCAGTGATATTCTAAGTAACACTGACTTGGGGAGATGAAGAAAAAAAAATGGAAAAAAACAAGTTTTGAGCAATGTTTTGATGTCCAGCACTTCAAAAGCGCACATAAAATTACAAACACCTTACCTTATTCAGGTCACTAGTGATCCAGTACGTTTTTGGCAAATAAATTAAAATAAAACTATATATTTAAGCTATTTTACTTTACATTTGTTAGCAAGTATTGCGGATGAAAAGTGTGTGTCATTCTACGGGAACAGCGACCTGAGATGTACAGACTTGCCACATAAATGTAAACAAACAATTTTCTTCTGAAAAATAACCATGACTAATTTATTCTATAATTATTTTTAGCTGTCATTGATTATTTTCACATAACTACACACCACCTTAGTTTATCATTTATATAATATGCTGTGCTGAATCACAATTTTTTCCCAAAAAAAGTTTTATGTTTGGGTAGTAATGTTCAAAGATACATCATTGTAGTGGTACCGATTTCAGTGTGGTTAATGTTTGACTAATGAAAAACTATTGGTTAGTTTGTGTTTATTTGTTTTTGTGTGTAAAAATGATATCAGATAATCCTCTGGGATCAATAAAGTTAATCTTAATCTTACAGCCAATGCTTGTACAAAATGTTGTATAAATTAAAAGCAATGTAGACACATATCAACTGAGGATAAAATGTTTGGGATGCTGAACACTTGTATATTTGGCATTATATGTTGACGAGAACCACCTGAGAACCATCAATCCATGCACCCATTTTCCATACCCACTTTTTCATCAAATTAATTTCTACAGGAGAATTTGATTGTTTCATTGCTACTGCTGTATGAGGGCTGTTCAAACTAACAGCAGCACGGCAGAAACCTGATGGCTTCATAGTTGTTTAATAATGTGCTACACAAGAGACTTTGCAGGTGGGAAACAGAAACAGGGGACAGATGCCCAAAGAGCTGTACTTGACAGACTATACAACATGGGGCCGAGTGAGCTACTTCTTTCCTTTTGATAAAAAGAAAAATCACATGATTTCTCTGGAAAAGTATGTGATGTTAGCCAGTGCTGTACCATGGCACCAGTACCAAAATATTGGGTAGCGTTTTTCCACAAGTAAATGATAAAACTGGAGGATAATGCACTTTTACTGGCTTTCCAAGTATCACAGGCAGTATGTGGCTCAGCAGGCTAAGCCTCAGTGCCCATGATCGGAAGGTTGCCAGTTTGAGCAGAAAATCCACATGTCCCTTGACAAGGCCCTTAACCCCCAGCTCCATGGGTGTGGATGCCCTTTGTTGCCAAGCTTGCTCTCACCTATATATGTGTCATGGAGAGCAAGCTGGGGATAGCTGAAAAGAGAATTCTCCCATGGGGATTATTAAAGTGTCATTATTATTATTAATAATAAGGTTATCTGTGGTGCCCCCTTGTGTAAATATCAGTGAAGTGTCACTGACTGTCCATATGCACCTGATTGAGCTCCTCATCATTGGCTATGGCCAGCTTGATGTGTCTTGGTGTAATACGGCCCTTCTTGTTGTCCCGCGCCGCGTTACCTGCCAGCTCCAAAATCTCAGCTAGGACAAAAGGTACCAGAGGGAATGAAGTGTTTGGAAAACATACAAAAACAACATCCAATTTTCAGCCCCCTTCCAGATACAATTATCACCATTTTAAAGTATAAACTAAGTCAGTGTAATAATGCTACACAGGTAGTGACTGAGAATAATGTTCTCAATTATATTACAATCAATTGCTTTTCAACTATTAGTCTTGCATTTAAAAAGCCGTGTCATCAAAACTATTTTAACACATACAAAAAATGTTTGTATCATTATCTATATTAGTAAATACTCAAGTGATGTTCACAAGACCACCAAAAATCTTGGCCAGAAAATATGTAGCCAAATGACAACTCTATTACTCAGTCCACCATATCAGTTGACCTGCTATCTGGCACACATCAACATCCTCTCAGCCAAAAGGTATGGGCAGACCCCATGCTTACCTGCCAGGTACTCAATGACAGCTGCCATGTAGACCGGGGCACCCATGCCAATGCGGTACTTGTGGGTACCCGTACGTAGATACCTCATCATCCTGCCAACAGGAAAGATGACCCCCGCCCTGGCTGAGCGAGACAGTTTAGTGGTTTTCTTCTTGCCACCTCTGGCAGACATCCTGCAACACAGAGTGACATCAAGAACAAACAAGTCATCTGAAAGTATACCAAACTCCATAACTATAGCGATTTTAGTTTTGGTTTCTACTCAATATTCATAGAGCTGGGTTTTCTGAGTGAGTTTCCACACTTCATGCTGCAGTCCAAAGACCATTATGCGAGGATCCTGCTACTCCTCATTCATCACCTAGCAACCTTAACACAAAGCATTTTTAAAAAAACAGACCCAATGAATGAATACACATGCAGCTGCAACAAACTGCTGCCATCCACACATATTTACACATCTGTCAGAGCCCGCGGATGAGAGTAATGCCCAAATAAATTTTCAGATGTAATCTAAGTGTTCTTTCAGGCTATTTCGGGTTTTTCAAAAGAGTACATGCAATGCCCTAGTGGGTTGTTAATATTTCACAAGCAGCAGCAGACCAAAGCTCAAATGCTGCTTCTGTAAATTATGTGGCATTGTAGATCAGTGAAGAGTCTTCGCAGTTGGACAGAATTTCTTTGGTGCTATATAGCATTTAATATTTACTTGTGACGTGCCATGCACTGAACAATTTATGGAGTAGCAATTGGGTGTCGCATTTATATAAAAGGATACAATGATTTGTGATTTATTTTACACTTAAGAAAGTTGCCTTTTTTGGTAAATGGTGGGGAGGGGGGTTCACATAGCCCTAAGAAAGAAAATCTCATGCATAATCACTAGCAGTGCATTCAAAACTGTCAGGCTGAATGTGTGGTTTAATGCTGAAAATGATCTGAATGTAATATCTGAATAAGTCACTGACTTCTGTGCTTCTCATATTCAGGGACTCTAACTGGCTGTTGCCTGTGCATTAAGCTAAACGACTTTGCTAAACATGCTCATTCACAAGACTTTTATACAAAGACTTCTGAACCCTTTAATCACTACAGTGAATTATTAGGTTATCAGAAAAAAATGTTTATCTGTCTAACATGTCAGATGACATTATAGGAACATTCCTTTGTTTAATAATGTTCAAAGAAAATTAATAGCTGGATTGCTGACAATTCAGGAAATTAAGGTTATAGTACACATCACTGCAAAGTTGTGTAAAATCAGTTTTTGTTTTGGATGTTTTGCATGTGTTATGCGTTAAATTCGAGATTCATTTTTAATTACTTCTAATTCAATCTTTTTGTCAAATCTTAAAATGATTTAATACAATTATATATATTATATATATGTAACTGGTCCACAGAAACTGGTGATAAAATGTTTTGTATTGTAATAGCACTTTTAGGTACAAATGAGCAGAGCAAAACAGAGATATAGAGGTAATTTAAGAATAATTCCAAAATTATCTGTTTAATAGGCGATTTTCCAGATTTACCTTCTCTTTCCTAGTTTGTCTGTACATACTTGCACAGATGTAAAAATATGATATGGACAAGATGGAGCACCTTTATTTCATCTCATCACACCAGTACTTGTGGATGACATTTCAGTCAGACATGAGACAGGCTCAGCACAGCTTTATTCTTAAATTCAAACTCCACAAGAGGGCAAAGCCGTGAGAACAAACGGATGATATAGCCGTCATTTGTAGTGTGTACTTCTCACCATAAAACAAAGTTTTTGTAATAAGGCAAAAAGTAGATGTTTTCTGTGTGCTACTCTTCTGCAGGTTATCACCTAACAGTTGGTCATTAGGGTAGGGCAGACTGAGAGGAACACTGCAGTTACTGAATCCACATACCAAAAACAGAATAAGTTCCCTGCTGCTGAGAGGGAATTTTTTTTTTTCTAACCTTAAACCTTTTAATTATACACATGCTGTATGAATGGGCAGCTTGCACGTGTTCCCATTTTAGGCGGTCAGTGGAAATGCTGGAAAAGGTCCCAATTTTGCCCAGGTGTAGCTGCCACAAATATTTATCCTTGAAATATCTGTAAGCAATGGTAATTAAAACATTAAAAACAATAACCTGTCTGGTCGATATCGTCATTGGTAAAGTATATCGCAATATAATTGAAAGTAGTTTTCTGCTGGCGGATTCAGGAACTCAGACATTCTGAAACCATCCATTGGCACCTCAGTATTTTATTACTGTTTTCACGAAGTTCGTCATTCGTGGAAAAAGTGTACAATTATGACTGGCGTTCCTGTGTGCAACATCGTTAGAGCCTTAACTTTTTATTAGGTTATTAACCGGAGTACAGCTGGTTAACAAGAACCTTCATGGTCATAGATTTCAACATGCGATTCCATGTCTGTCGCTCCTTTTTTTCGGCGCATCCAGGTCACGTAGTCCTATGCCGTTCACCTGAGGCTTTGCGACGCAGATCTGAGAAAAGTTTTCAGTGTTTCTAGTTGGTATGTATATGCCATATGGTATAAAATAAAAACACCGTACGAAGCGATGTACTTCACAGATATTCAATTCATCAGCGTCGATAACATTACAGAAAGCGACCTAATAAAAATGACACGAGTCAATTTGCTAAGCACGTTTCTCAGCTTACGGTTCACCTGAATCCACTAGACGATAGAGCCAACGAGAACACATGCCCATTCTGAAAGTCATTTAATGCATTTTAAAGGGGTCGCGCTTGGGAAATGTAACTATTGCATTTCCCTGCTGACGGATGCTGCGCGCCCAGCCAAGGCAGACCCGAGCGCATAAAGGATCTACGTGTACGCGAGGATACACAGTAAGCAACGCAAAGGCCTCGGAGACGCGCCATCGCGAAAAAATAAGCCTTTCGCCAGCTCTGTGTATTTTACACCAGCCTCATCGCACGACGGCTCAAGTCCTTGGTGTTTAAAACCACTATTGATCAATGCGTTTTTTTTTTTTACTTAGTGGCTAGTTAGGCAGCTAGTCGTCAATCAAAGCTACCCGACCGAGAATCGTTCGTACAAACGCAGCGCTGTAGTCCGCCGAAGGCTAGCTTCAAAAGGCTAGCCAGCGAGCACGTCTAGGAAAGGTACGCCAGCATGAATACCCCCTGAAATATATACAATGCAAAGCCAAATAGAAAATGCGAAACGAGCTCTATTTCATTATTAAAATATGCCTTACAGAAGTACTCTCGGATACAAACCCCAGGCTGCCCTAGCCGAATAAAATGCACAATGTTGCTAACAGCTGACAAATCATAGCTATCCAAAGCAATGTCCAGATGAGAGCATTATACAAACAATCGGCCGCCTCGTATTCAGTCGAAAGGTCTGAAGCAGGGCCGTAGCCTAGCTCCGTTCCTTCCTGTGAGTGTTCAATCCGCTGAATGTGTAGGCTAACGTACCCTGCCAGACATGGTATCACTCGAAAAGCCTAGTATGACGCCAACCGCGAATAGCCCGATATATTTCTGTAATTCTCTTATTTGTACCTGTTTGTTCTCCTTTAACGTATCAAAGCAGGCCCGGGTTTTCCCGTGAAATCCCCTAGGAGATTGTATTTATTCTTATTCTCTGTCCTGGTGTGTATCCGGATATTTTACAAGCTAAATACACGGCCACCACTCGTCGGAGGCAGGCTCTATACTACTGATGCTGCCAAGGGGAAAAATTCAGTACGGAGGAAAACACGCCGAAAACGCCCCCGGAGAAAGACTGACAGACAGCGGACAGATGGAAAGAAGCGCATGTTTTAACAAAATGAACTGTTTGAGACATAAGCGACGTGTTTAATTCGTTGCTAATTCTGAAAATACAGAGACAGCCCCGAATCTTGCAATTTTCAGTAAACAAAATTTCCTTTTAAATCGGTTTCCGGTATCCCTACCGTGTGGTTTAAAGATTAAGAAGCACAACTAACACGCAACTCTCGGTTTCACAGGCTGACAAAAATAAGCTGGTATGGTAGCACCAATTCGTCATTTCCCCTAGTTCTTATCAACTGTTAAAAAAAGCACATAATTTTCTTACCTACGTGGAGTTGTGGGACTGTCACAACAGATATAAATTAGACTGTGCAAGAAGACTGAAGGGTTCAAACGTTTAATTTTTAACTAGTTTATTAGCAACATGTGGGTACATCCATAACCACTTAGGGGTGAGATGATAAAAAAAGCCTACTCCCCGTACGCACACACTAGGTTAACAGCAGACTTTGTGTGAGAATAATTTAATCAAATAGTCAGTATGACACAACATTCATAATCTTTGATATTCGTTCAAATGAACATAAGCAGAACCCTCCCTGCCTTTGCACAAAATTCGGGAAATTCACCCCTCATCGTTTCCAGTGAATATTAAAATAACCTAGAGAAAAGCACATGAGTGTGAACAAACACCAAAACAAACAGGAGATGCGATCTATGCTTGGCGTTTCATTTTAACCTCTCATACACTTTGCAATAGGGAAAATGGATTTAGTGATAAATACGATCAACTACTCTGGTTTAGGAAAAATATCGGGAAGAGAATAAAAAACAAGCAATTTGTTTAGTGGTGGCAAAGTTCCTGAGTAACACTGTACTTTACATGAGAATGTGACTACACTAACCACCAGGAAACTCGACTATAGTTAAAAATCAGAAAAGATGGTTACTTTGCTTTATGCAGATGCTGTGACCTATGCCAGTTAGCCTGTGCCCCTTAATACCCTAGATAAGCTAAACAGTACCTGGTCAAATTCTGCTAAAATGTGGATCATAAGTTTTGAAATGACAAGTGGTGGTGGAAAAATATTTTCGTCATTAGAATATACACTCACCTAAAGGATTATTAGGAACACCATACTAATACGGTGTTTGACCCCCTTTCGCCTTCAGAACTGCCTTAATTCTAGGTGGCATTG